GCCTGTACTGGCCCTTGGACACTTGTGGTCCACTTGTTTTGTTTGGTGCTTAAGTGTTTGTCACTACAACAAATAAAACTGAGCTTCTATTCCGTGTCTGAGTTTCTTTTCAACGACAGCATCTCCTCATCGTCTTGTCTTTGCCCCAGGGTTGGAGGGGAGGTCTGGGAATTAGATATTCCAACACTATAAGAAAGCTGAAGACAATTTAGGAAATGGAAAATGGGTCCTGCCATTCAGTATTAACTACTGTGAACATTTTGGAATCCTTCCTTAGTTTCATAGTTGTATTTATATAGTGAACGCATAAGAATAACATAATGTGTCCTAACTGGTTTGGCTCAGTGGCTAGAGCGTCGGCCTGAGGACTAAAGGGTCCCAGGTTCGATTCCGGTCAGGGGCATGTACCTTGGTTGCCGGCACATCCCCGGTAGGGGGTGGTGTGCAGGAGGCAGCTGATCAATTTTTCTCTCTCATTGATGTTTCTAACTCTCTATTCCTCTCCCTTCCTCTCTGTAAAAAATCAATAAAATATATTTTTAAAAAAGAATAACATAATGTATAATATTTTGCAAGGTTAGCATTTTTACTAATATTTTTCTTTTTTGTTATTGTTTCATGTGCGAGAGAAACATCTATTTGTTGTTCCACTTATTTATGCGCTCATTGGTTAATTCTTGTATGTGCCCTGCCAGGGTATCCAACCTGCAACTTTGGCATGTCAGGACCACGCCCTAACCAACTGAGCTAACCTACCAGGGTGTGGGGTATATAAGAACTCTGTGTGCTATCTTTGGAATAATTCTCTAAATCTAAAACTTTTCTAATATTTCAAGTTTATTTTAAGAGTTTTTATCAGAATTTTCACAGGCATCAGTAAATTATCCTAAATATCTCAAGGTAATAATACTTTAATTGAACCTCTCAGACTGAATGCCTTAAATCTACATAGAAAAAGGATATTCTAAATGCAAGGATGCATGCTAGCTTCAGTTTGCATGTCTGCATTGATCAGTGTGTTTTGCTAGTCATCTGCAATATAAACAAACAGAAACTATCATTAGTTACGCAAATCTTGTTTTAGAATCCCCTCTACTGGGGATGTGCCCACAACCAAGGTACATGCCCTTGACCAGAATCAAACCCGGAACCCTTTTCTGCAAGCTCTCTATCCGCTGAGCCAAACTGACCAGGCCTATTGGTTGCTTCTTGTATGTGCCCTGACCAGGGATCAAACCCACAACCTTGGCATAGTGGGACAATGCTCTAACCAACAGCTACCTGGCCAGGGCTTTACTAATATATATATTTTTTAACTAATATTTTTCATCTAACATGAACTTTTCCTCTTTTTTTTTTTTTAAATCCTCACCCTAGGATATTTTTCCATTGGTTTTTAGAGAGAGTGGAAGAGAGAGGGAAAGACATAGAGAAATATTGATGTGAGAGAAACACATTAATTGGTTGCCTCCTGCAGGTGCCCCAACCAGGACCTGGGCTGGGGAGGAGCCTGCAACCGAGGTACATGCCCAGAACCCTTTGGCCCACAGGCCGATGCCCTATCCACTGAGCAAAACCGGCTAGGGCTGAACATTTCCTCTTTCTAAAAATTCTTCAAAAGAATTGCTGAATGGAGGCATAACAGATACATTATAATGTAATTATTGACTAAATTATTTTCAATTTTTGTCCTATTATAGGTAATGATTCAATGGAATTTTTATTTTATTTTTAAATATATTTTTATTGATTTCAGAGAGGAAGGGAGAGGGAGAGAGAGACAGAAACATTAACGATGAGACAGAATCATTGATCAGCTGCCTCCAGAAATCAAAATGTGGCCTCCTGGTTCATAGGTCAATGCTCTACCATTGAGCCACGCCAGCCAGGTGCAATGGAATCTTTTAAAAAATGTTGTTGGTTTTAGAGATAGGAAGGGCGAGGGAAAGTGGGTTAGAAACATCCATGATGAGAGAGAATCATTGATCGGCTGCCTCCTGAAGGCCCCCCACGGGGGATTGAGCCTGCAATCCGGGCATGTCCCTGAGCGGAATAGAACCAGTGCCCTCCTGGTACACGGGACAACACTCAAGCAACTAAGCCATACTGGCCAGGCTGGAATTCTTGTATATAAATCTTTGCATGAATGATTTTTTCTTTAAGATAGATTCCAAGAGGTGGACTTACTGAGTTAAATACTTATGATTTATTGTATAAAGCTCTCATTCTACAGTGCAAAATTGCATTGCAGAAGCCCTAGACGGTTTGGCCCAATAGCTAGAGTGTTGGCCCTCGGATTGAAGGGTCTCAGGTTTGATTCTGGTCAACGGCATGTACCTCAGTTGCAGGCTTGATCCCTGGCCCAGGTCAAGGCACGTGCGGGAGGCAACCAATTGATGTGTCTCTCTCACATCAATGTTTCTCTCTGTCTCTCCCGCTCCCTTGCACTGTCTCTGAAAGTCAATGGAGAAAATTTCCTCGGATGAGGATTAACCATAAAAAAAAGGGCACCATAAAAAACGTACCCCATCACGAGAATGCTGATTTCCCACATCCTTGTCATGATTGAGTCTCTGGGCAAAAATGTGTTTTAAATCTAGTTCGCATGAGAAGAGCAAGCAACCTCAAAATAATAAAAGCATAGCTTTGTGGGCTGACTGGCCTTGACCCAGGTCAGTGAAGAAAAGTGCTGGGACGATTGGTTTAAGCCTTTCATTGGAAAGAATGAGCTCCTTGTAAATTATATTGCAGCTTTTGCTAAACTTACTTATTATAGCAGCTCTTTTTATAGATGCCATCAGATTGTGTGCAAGATGATCATGTTTTCTTAGAATAAGGGCGGTTTTGCTTCGTTTTCAAATTGGAGGCCTTTCCATTGGTTAATATCCTCCCTGGTTAGGAGGTTGTATTTTGGTGCTTCTCTGCATGCCTGGTAATTTTAGTTTGGATTCCAGACATGATTTTCCCTTGAGTGCTGGATATCTCTTTTTAAAATATATATTTTATTGATGTCAGAGAGGAAGGGAGAGGGAGAGAGGGAAACACCAATGCTGAGAGAGAATCATTGCTAGGCTGCTTCCTGCACGCCCCCTATTGGGGATCAAGCCTGCAACACAGGCATGTGTCCTTCACTGGAATCGAACCCAGGACCCTTCAGTCTGCAGGCCAACGCTCTATCCACTGAGCCAAACCGGCTAGGGCAGTGCTGGATATCTATATAGTCCTAGACATTTTTTAAAATATATTTTATTGATTTTTTTACAGAGAGGAAGGGAGAGGGATAGAGAGTTAGAAACATTGGTGAGAAACATTGATCAGCTGCCTCCTGCACACCACTCCCCACCCGGGATGTGCCTGCAACCAAGGTACATGCCCTTGACCAGAATCGAACCTGGGACCCTTCAGTCTGCAGGGTCTCTTCCTCTTTGTTTTTTTCCATAAAGAAATTCCTCTTCTTCCTTTCCTCTCCTCTCCTTCTCTTCTTCCTTTTCCTCTTCCTCCTCCTCCTCCTCCTTCTTCTTCTTCGAAATCATTCTTAAGACCTTAACTATTTATGGACAGATGAGAACTTAGCTCTTTGACACCACTATCTCCTCTACCTTTTCCCCAAATGATTTTGTTCACTTCTTGGGGTTTCTTTTTCCCCTGAGGTTAAAAATCACCTCATTGGCTTAGTTCCTGCAATTTCACAATGGTGATTTAAAAAAATATACATTTTTATTGATTTTAGAGAGGAAGGGGAGAGAGAGAAATAGAAACATTGATGATGAGAGAGTCATCAATCAGCTGCTTCTTGCATGCCCCCCACTTGGGATTGAGCCCACAACCCAAGCACATGCCCTGACCGGGAATCAAACCGTGACCTCCTGGTTCATAGGTCAATGCTCAACCGTTGAGCCACGCTGGCCAGGCCCTGCTACTCTATTTAAAATTGCATCCTGCCCTGGCTGGTTTGGCTCAGTGGATGGAGCATCGGCCTGCAAACTGAAAGGTCCCAGGTTCGATTCTGGTCAAGGGCACATGCCTGGGTTGTGGGCTCGATCACCAGTGGGGGACTTGCAGGAGGCAGGTAATCAATGATTCTCTCTCATCATGGATGTTTCTATCTCTCTCTCCCTCTTCCTTCCTCTCTGAAATCAATTTTATACACACACACACACACACACACATATATATGTAAATTTTTAAAAATAAAATTGCATCCCACTTTCTCCACCTGCATCACTGTAACAGGTGTGTGTGGCGGGGGGATAAGAGGTAGGTAGGCGTATTGTGAAGGAGATACAACTGGGACAGTAAGGAGTTGTTGGATATGAAGGAGTTTAAGTGCAATGAAGCCACTGAAGGGTTCTGAACAGAGCGGGACAAGATCCACCTTATATCTTTTTTTTAAAAATATATTTTATTGATTTTTCACAGAGAGAAATGGAGAGATGGATAGAGAGCCAGGACATCGATGAGAGAGAAACATCGATCAGCTGCCTCCTGCAACCCCCGACTGGGGATGTGCCCGCAACCAAGGTAGATGCCCTTGACCGGAATCGAACCCGGGACCCTTGAGTCCACAGGCTGACGCTCTATCCACTGAGCCAAACCGGTTAGGGCCACCTTATATCTTAATAGGACGCCAATGCCTCCCAGGTTGGGAATAGGCCAAGGGCAGGTAAGGCAGGTACAGAGATAGATGGGCATCCAGAGACAGGGTCTTAGACCAGGCTGGGGGCAGTAGAGGTGGAAGGAAGGGAGCAGATTCTGAATGGATCTTGAAGGTAGAGCCACCAGCACTTGCTGATGAGCTGGATATGGATGGCCCTGACCTCCTTAAATCCCCAGGAACCCTGCAATGCATTACCCTCCCCCCACAAAGGGGTCTGCAATCTCCCGCCTGCTCCCCATGTTCCCTGCCCTCTCCCTATGTGCTACGCCTGCTCCCCATGTTCCCCGCCTGCTCCCCATGTGCCCCAACCACCCACCTGCCCCAAGAGAAAAACCACACAGACTCCATTTTCCCAATGTTTAATTAGGAAAAAATGTACATGAACAAAGGAGAACTCATGCAACAAAAGAGGAGAGAGTGGGGTTTCCGGGACCTCGAGATGGGGCCAGATTCCTCGAAAGAGGCAGAAACACAAAGGAGTAAGGCACTGCCGCCTCGGCCCCTCGGGGCGGGCGCAGGACAGGGCAGCTGAGGATGAGGGTCCAAAGGCAAGTTAGACAACACTGAGGAGGTTTGGCAGTAGGGCCGGGAGAAAGTTCTGGAGCCCCAGGCCCAGGTCAGGCCCCGGAATGAACGTCTAGTTACAGCTCTCAGGTGCTTGGAGAGAGTGGGGCCCCTTGAGGATGCGCAGTCCAAGTCCCAAGAGGTTTGGAGGGGGACGCTGTGGTCCGCTGCAGGGGACCCCTTGGCACAGCCACAGTCCGAAGGCAGCTTAGGGTGCATCACCCTAAGCGCTGCTGGTGCCGAGGCCATGGCGAGGTGTCACAGGATCAGGACAACTCAAGGAAGAGAATGAGGTTGGCAACATCCCGGGTGGGGGGGCGGCGGGGTGGGGGGGCGGTATTTACAGATGGAGGCAGTGAGGCAGAGATAAATTAAATAAATAGGTGGTTGGGGGTATAAATAGTAAGGGGGGCAGGGGCTGTCACACACCTGGGCACAAGGGCAGGAGGCTGGGGGTATTGCTGCTGCTGGGGTGGGGGGCTAGGTCCTGTCACCCCCTCCCCGCCTGCAGGGCCCAAAGCAAGGCACTAATGAAGGGGGTTCAGGGGCATAGTGGCCCGCTGACCTGGCCTGCGCCACCCCATCCCGGGCTCAGCCCTGAGCCCCAGGCGTGAGCCCCCCCTCTCGACAGGACGACGACCCAGGACCGGGAAGCCCCCTCCTCACCGGCTCCGCCACCCTTAGCTGTTGCTGGACATGAGGCTGATGATCTGCTCCAGCTTCTGGCGCAGCTTATGCTTCCGACACGAGGCGTCTCTGTCCAGGGCGGTGAGAACCTGCGGGAGGCCCGGAGCTGGGTTCGCTGAGGGAGGTGGTTTCCTCCCAGGCAAGGCCTCTGCCCCGGAGGTCTTGAGCTCTTCCCTCTCTCCAGCCTCAGCGCATCCCTCCTCCCCCGTGGCCCTCAGGGCCCTAGGCGCCTGGGAAAGGCTCCAATCTCTCAATCTCCTACCTCTGAACACACCTCCCGTCTCCTCCAACCCAGATCCGCCTCCAGCTGCAGAACTTTCTCCTCTTCTCTCCACAGCCAGAATTCGGCCCTCCCACGAGTGGTCTGGACTCACCGTCCCCGATCTCCCTTTCTCATCCCCTCCCAATTCCTCCTCCCCGCAAAAAACCTCTCTTGTCCAGGTCTCTACCATCTTGTCACCAAACCCAGCCAGCGTTCTCAGGCTCCTTGACCATCAGCAGCACCTGAAAGCTGAGCGCTCTCTCCTCCCTGACCCTCCCCCATGGGGGCTGGGGTTCCTCACACATGTTCCAGGATCAGCTCTCTATTCTTGGGGTCCGTCCCACCTGCTGGCCACCCCCTCTTCTGTCTCCGCTACCGGCTCCCTTTCTTCTCTGCCACCTCTGGGTGTCCCAGGGCCCCAGGGCTCAGTGCTCGGGCCACCAGGTCCCTCTGCACCCACTCCCGGCCGCACTGGCTGAGCTCATCCAGGCTCAGGGCCTTCAGAGCCATGTCCTGGCTCACAAATCCATATCTTCAGCCAACAATACATCCTGAGGCCCACACCTCTATGTCCCTTGCCTCCTGCCACCTCCAGTCACAAATCCCATAAGCCCTAGAAAGGGCTGTCCATGCCCACCTTCTAGCCCCACCCCCCTCAGCCTGTCCCTCCCAATGCCCCTGGCCCTCAACTCTTGTCCAACCAGAACTGTGTACTCTAGCCAGTGGCTTCTTTTCTGGGTCCTTTAAATCCCAGCATTGAGGCGAGTGTCCTGTGTGCTGGCCTAGCGGCCTGCTTGCGGGAGTGATCATGAGCAATCTAACAGATGGGCTCCTGCCTGGCTGGTGTGGCTCAGTGGTTGAGTGTTGACCCATTCACCAAGAAGTTGCCAGTTCGAATCCCGATCAGGGCACATGCCTGGGTTGTGGGCTTGAGCTCTGGTGGGAGCCAGAGATGGGCTCCCTATCCCTTCTGTCCCCTCCACGTCCTGTGGCATTTCTCGACTCCCACCGAGACCCCTGCTTTGTCACTCCGGGAGCAGCACACACCTCCTGGTGGTACTTGGTGACATAGAAGTAGAGCTCACTGAGCGCGCTTAGGACACTGAAGTCGCTGGCATGGAGGCGGGACTGCTCCACCAGGTAGGCGTCCATGTCCTGGTCACTGATGGATGCCATCTTTGCAATGTCCCGGTAGTACCTGTTGGGACCCTGAGGTCACACACATGGACAGGTGGCACAAAAGTCAAAGTCCCTGCCCTGGCTGCCAGGCCAGCCTCTGGGCCTCTGTCCTATAGTTGGCCCACCTCAGAGAAGCCAGCCCACAGAGGGGCAGCTCCTGCCCCCCTTCACCCACGGCAGCTCCCCCGGGACTGCCTGGTTCCACCTCCCCACAACCTGGCGCCACAGGGCAGAGCCCACCTCTCCACCCAACTCTTGTAGTTCGGGATGTCCTTGGCATAGAGCAGCTTATTGGAGGGTGAGTCCTTGCCCAGGCGGTGCTCAGACGTGGAGCAGGAGTCCATGAAGGTCTGGGCCACCACCGACAAGCAGGCGTCCGTGATGCTGCTCTTGTGGATGTCGAACACAAACTGCGGATTCTTGATCACATTCACCCAGAAGCGCAGGGGCAGGCTGCATGGACGGACACACACCCGCAGCTCCCTCGTCTCCCAGAAGCACCCTGCCAGTGCCCTTCCCTTCCATGGTTCCTGGCTGGCCAGCCCACTTCTTGCCCAGAGCAGCAAGAGTGACATGTTTAGGGTTAACAGCCTTTTCTTTAAGTTTCTGCCAGAGACATAAAGAGCTACCACATGGGGGCCGGCAGGCGTGGCTCAGTGGTTGAGCGTCAACCTATGAACCTAGAGGTCATGGATCGATTCCAGGTCAGGGCACATGCCCAGGTTGCGGGTTCGATCTCCAGTAGAGGGTGTGCAGGAGGCGGCTGATCAATGATTCTCTCTCATCATTGATGTTTCTATCTCGTTCTCCCTTTGCCTTCTTCTCTGAAATTAATAAAAATATATTTCTTGCACTGGCTGGTTTGCCTCAGTGGGCAGAGCATCGGCCTGCGGACTGAAGTATTTTAAAAAATTATATATATATATATATATACATATATATACATATACATATACATATACATATATATATATGTATATTTCTTAAAAAAAGAGCTACCACATGAGCCGAGCTACCAGCATCTGTGCCCCACGCAAGGCCCTGAGGGCTAAGGGCCACTGCTGGGTACTGGCCCCACTAACCCCAGGCAAATGCCCTACAGAGCCCACCTCCGAATGGCGCTCACTCGCCCTCTTTGCTTGCTGCCACTCTGGATGCTGGTCCTCTCCTGCCTGGACAGCCACTCCAGCTCCCATCAGTTGCCCCGACTAACTCTGTGGTCCCTGAGTGTTGGCAAAGCCAGCAGCCTCTTCTGACCATCCCCCCCTAGAGGGGCCGGCAGCAGGAGGGCGCAGGGCAGTACCAGTTGCTCTTCCAGGTGTGGCGTACGTCAGGGTCACTGATCTGGTGCTGGTCGGCCTGCTCATCGAGGAAGTCGAACATGTACTTGATGGCCAGGGGCAGGGCCGAGCCCCGGTGTGCCGTGCTGAACACCGTCTCAAAGAGGTCATCCACAAACTTCTGCAGCGTGCCCTGCGGGGGACAGCAAACATACAGGCCGTGAGGCGGCTGGGTCGGGATGTCCCCACAGCAGGACAGAGGGGGGCAGAGGGGGACAGAGGCTTGGCAGTGAGAAGGTGGCCCGGGGCCGGCCCGCACCTTGGTGGCCAGTAGCCGCGTCAGGTAGATCTCGGAGACCATCTTGCTGCCACGGTCCCCCTCGCGGTGGTCGGCGTGGTCGTGGTTCTTCACCAGGTGCCACAGCTTCGTGCCCGTCTCCTGGTCAGGCGTGATCATGGGCGCCCGAGAGCGGAGGCTGTGGGGGCTGCTGGCCGTGCGAAGCAGGCTCTCTGGGGCAGAGGACCAGTTGGCCCCTTAGGCAGCGGGACCCCACTAGCCACTGCGGGGGCGCTTGCCGCACTCTGTCCTGGGGGCCCAGCAGGCTGAGGGGACCTGTATGCTCTTGCCGGCCCACCCACTACTAAGCTCTAAGGAACTGGAGATCTTCCAAGGCCAAAGCCCAGGGAGGCCACCAGAGTCAAGCCGGCTGCTCCGACAGGGGCTCCCCGTGACCGCGGTCACAGCCTCATAGGGCACATGGAGGCCCCCACACAGGACACCTACCGTAGCGGCTGAGGGAGCGGGTGAAGGTGAAGGAGTTGGCCATGTTATAGGCGGACACTTGTTTGGGCACCAGTGCCACCAAGGAACCATCTGTCACCTGGAGACCCCAGAGACAAAGGGGGCAGTGCAGGCGGTTGAGGAGCCCAGGGGCCCGGGTCACGCCCCGCCTCCCCCACCCAGACCCTGCGATGTGCACAGAATAGCGCCCGAGGCTCCCTGAGGAGGAAGGGAGCCAGGACCCTGCTCCTGTGTCATCAGGGCAGGGCCACAGCTCCCAGGTGGCCCTGGGGGTGAGCGGGGCCCCGGCCCCTCACCTGGTAGTGGGCCAGCGAGTTGACCCTCTTCCAGTCACACTCGATCTTGGTGGTGACATCTTCATCCTGGAGGATGATGCGGGCCATGCGGCCCTGGCGCCACTCTGCGGGCCACAGACAGCCCTTGAGGTCCTGCCCAGTGTCCCCCGAGACCCCGGGCCCACTCCACTCAGAGGACAGAGTCCAGGGACAGAGGAGAGGGGAGGCCTCACCCAGGTCCATGTCCTCAGCCTTGGGACGCTGGGAGTAGGGGATGCCCTTGTACACGGCATCCAGCAGCTTGTCTTTGGCCTGGGTGATGCTGTCACAGTTGAGAACCTTCACGGGGACCTGAGCGCTGCCCTCACTCTCCGGGCACACGCAGTACAGGGTCTGCGGCCGAGGAGAAGCGCAGGGTGGGTCCTGGGCGAGGCTTTCCCCCCCACACCCAGAGCCCCACCCACCAGGTCCCCCATTCACCAGCGTCTTGTAGTCAATCTGCTGCCGAATGAGTTTATCCTCACTCAGGGAGTAGCGCGCCTCGCCCGTGATGGCGTCGATGGGGCCCTTCTCCATCTGCTGCTTGATGGCGCAGTAGAGCAGGAAGAGCTGCTCCCCCGCACACTCCTGCAGCGAGAGGCGGGCACATGGCTGCCTGCCCCATGGCCAGCTGCCTCCCCACCTCCCCGGCCTGCAGCCCTCCTGCCCAGTGTACCTTCAGAAACTTATGCAGCAGGAACGTGAACCAGTTGGTAAGCATCTTCTCGGCCACTGACTCCGTCCTAGGGCGCAAAGGTTACTGGGGCCCTAGCCGGGCAGGGGAGGGGGCGGTTCAGGGGCCAGGCTGGCGGAGGGTAGGGCTGGGGTTGGGACGTACCTGCGTAGCAACAGCTTTGGATGGTTCTTGCTCTCAAGGTTTTTCTCGATGAGGTCTGCCAGCAGTTGCTTGAGCAGCCCCGTGGCGTAATCGAGGCGGCTCTGGAGGGCCACCATGGTGAGCGAAGCCACGGTGCCACGGTCCCGCATGGAGAAGCTACTCTGGGCCTCCAACGTGTGAATGAAGGTGAGCACGAAGGCGCGGCTGTGCAGCAGCTGCCCAAACAGGCGCAGAGCCTTCTCGACATTAGGGGGCGTCTGTGAGGGACAGGGGGCGTCAGATGGTGGCACAGTGGCCCTGGGGATGGCAGGGCGCAGGCAGGCCAGGCAGGGGCTCACATCCAGCTCCTTGAGCACCGGGTGGGCCTCGATGCCTGGGAAGAGCACGCGCACGGCATAGGTCCGGTAGTCCAGGAACGGGATCTGTACCACGTCCATGTGGTTCGTCAGCTCGTTGATGTCTGTCTGCAGCTCAGCAAAGGCTGGGAGGGGCAGGGAGGAAGAGTGAGTAGAGCAAGAGGAGGCCGGCGCCCCGCACCCCCACCCCGCACTGAACCCCCACTCCAGGCACCTTCCTTGCATTCCAGAGCCACGCGGGACTCCAAGTTGTCCATCTGGAGCTGGAGCCGCTTGAGCGTGCGGTCTGCATCCTGAGTCTTGCGCTTGTAGGCGACCAGCACAGCAGTGATGGC